ATGAATATCACTTGTTCAGAGAGTTGACTTCTAACAAAGTCATGCTTTTCTTGACTAGTGGTTTTCAGAAGGTTGTCTCTATCATTATGTTTGGTTCCTATGTTCTGTGGATATTGTTTTATATTTTATTTATTTATTTATTTGACTTGTATACCGCCACTCCCTATTTGGCTCGGAGTGGTTTACAGCAGTCGATAAAAACAATACAACCAATTTTAAAATACAATAAAAACTAAAACAGACATAGTCCCGAGTTATTCACCCAATCAAAAGCTTGTCAGAAAAGAAAGGTCTTACAGGCATTTGATGTTTCACATTTTAAAGTTATGTTGTTTATTTTACTGCAATTTGCATTGTTATATTGTAGTTTATTGTTTGGGCTTGGCCCCATGTAACCCACTCCGAGTCCCTGTTGGGGAGATGGTGGCGGGGTATAAATAAAGATTATAATAATAATAATAATAATAATAATAATAATAATAATAATAATAATGAGGATGCTTGCCATAGATGCAGGCGAAACGTCAGGAGAAATGCCTCTAGAACATGGCCATATAGCCCGAAAAAACCCACAAGAACTGAGGATTATTATTATTATTATTATTATTATTATTATTATTATGTTCATGGAGATTCACATTTGCCAAACGGATGTGACATCATTTTTACTTTTTCAATGAGGTTATGATGCAGTTATTTCCAATAAGTTGTGGAATTTTCAATAATTGCAAACCAACGTTTGAAGTGAGTTTGCAGTCCTGATTTGGACCGCAAGTTCAAAATTGCGTCTCCTCAATTCAGATGTTGGTTTCTGCGGAAGAGGCAGACACGTGTTGGATTGGAGCATGGCCTAAGGCTGCGAGCAAGAGCACAATGTGTGAACCCACTCATTTATGGCCTGGTTGTTGACCACTGTTCCCATTTCTCTCTCCGTCCTGCAGTTACAGAGATGCTGGTTAACATCCTCAACATCTGCTCTGACGACGAGCTTATTACAGACGGAGATGAAACATTGGATGGTAAAGAAATCCTTTTTTTACACTTTCAGGGTAGGGTGGGGGTAACTTTTGGGGTTTCAAGCAAATCCGGAGAAATCGATATCAAGTACTGGGCGTGTAGCCGTCTTCTTTGCACCATTTTGTTGTCATCTTTTCCATTCATAGCTAAAGCTCGCCATCCTGGGCTATTTTACAGGCTGCTATTTCTTTAGTTCTTTAGTACGTCCAACTAACAATACCTAAATTTGAAGGAAACCTTGGGTTTTATTCTGGGGTGGGTTTTTTTTCCCATCCTGTGGGAGGCTTCTCTCATATCCTCACATGAGAAGCTGGAGCGGACAGACGGGAGCTCAACCTGCTCCCTGGATTTGAACCATTGCCTTTTCAGTCAGCGGTTCTGCCAGCACAAGGGTTTGAGCCAGTGTTTCTCAACCTGAGGGTCGGGACCCGTGGGGGGGGGGGGTCGCGAGGGAGTTTCAGAGGGGTCGCTAAAGGCCATCAGAAAACCTATATTTCCGATCGTCTTAGGAACCCTTTTGGCAGAGAAATCTGAAGATCTCTCCACCTGACCTTCTCTTCCTTTTGGGAAAGGGACGGTGAATCCTCCCACCAAAAGCCCTCCTCTGCTGTGATTGACTGGCCTCTCAGCCAAGGGGAGGGCTGCTTTTGAGACTCCAAGCGGGGAGGGGGAAACACGCCTCTCACTATCAATTCCTCCCAAATCCCTCCAGTATTTTCTGTTGGTCAAGGGGGATATGTGTGGGAAATTTGGCCCAATTCTATTGTTGGTGGTGTTCAAGGGGCTCTTTTATTGTAGGTGAACTATAAATCCCAGTAACTATAACTCCCAAATGTCAAGGTGTATTCCCCCCAAACTCCACCAGTGTTCACATTTGGGCATGTTGAGTATTCGTACCAAGTTTGGTCCACATCCATCCTTGTTTGAGTCCACAGGGCCCTCTGGATATAGGTGAACTACAATTCTCTAGGTCAATGCCCACCAAACCCTTCCAGTATTTTCTGTTGGTCATGGGAGTTCTGTGTGCCAAGTTTGGTTCGATTCCATTGTTGGTGGAGTTCAGAATGCTCTTTGATTGTAGGTGAACTATAAATCCCAGCAACTACAACTCCCAAATGTCAAGGTCTATTCCCCCAACAGTGTTCAAATTTGGCATATTGAGCGTCTGTGGTATCCCTCATGATTTGAGTCCACAGTGCTCTCTGGATGTAGGTGAACTACAACTCCAAAACTCAAGGTCAATGCCCATCAAACCCTTCCAGTATTTTCTGTCACTTATGGGAGTTCTGTGTGGGAAGTTTGGCCCAGTTCTATTGTTGTAGTAGTTCAGAATGCTCTTTGATTGTAGGTGAACTATAAATCCCAGCAACTACAACTTCCAAATGACAAAATCAATCCCCCAAACCCCACCAGTATTCAAATTTGGGCGTATTGGATATTTGTGCCAAATTTGGTCCAGTGAATGAAAATACATTGTGCATATCAGATATTTACATTATAATTCATAAGAGTAGCAAAATTCCAGTAATGAAGTATAAATGAAAATAATGTTATGGTTAGGGGTCACACCAGAAGCGACTTGCAGTTTCTCAAGTTGCTCCTGGCACGACAAAAAAACAAAACAAAACAACAACAGCAAAACATGAGGAACTGTATTCGGGGGTCACAGAATTAGGAAGCTTGGGGATCACACCAGCAGCGACTTGCAGTTTCTCAAGTTGCTCCTGACACGACCCAAATAAATAAATAAAGTGGAACTATATTCAGGGGTCACGGCATTAGGAAGGTTGAGAAACACTGGTTTGACCTATTGCGCCATGAGGGTTGTGGGTTAGGACAACACAACGTTGAGACTGAACACCAATTGTTGGTATTGCGGTTGTATGTAACATGATTTGGGTCTTCCTAGCAATTTGTAAATGCTTTTCTTTTACTGTAAAATCAGTGGAAAAAATGATATTTGCAGTAAGATCTGCACATCAGATCAGCTTTTTGGTCACCAGTCATTGGATTGGCTTTCCCATCATTTCTGCCTAATCTCCAGAAATAAAACCAACTCATCCCCTGAGGCCCCTACTAATGGTTTTCGTGTGGTGCACCAGGAAGGCATGTATTTGCCGATCCGGAGTTCGGCGGCAGAAAAAGAGAGGGAGACTTAGCCAAGCGAGCGTGATGCAAGTCCAGAAGAGAACGGCCTCCGAGTTCTTCTTGTCCCGTTGCATTTTTTTTTATATTAAAAACATGTTTTTTTTTCCCTCCCTCCCATGGAAATTAAATTTGTTTCTTCTATCTCTATCTTCATCTCTTTGTTTACTTGGTGTCTCCTCTCCCTGAAGATAACTACATTTCAAGCTATCCGAAAGGTACCCAGCTAGACTTTGCTAAAAGCTTAATTCTCACTGCCTGTGCCACCAGATTTCCTTGGAGTGGATTTTGACTAGCTGACTAGTTGGAAAGTCTCGCCATTTCTCCCCCCTTCTTCCCCCTTCAGTTTTAACATGAACGTGGTGCGTTTGGTTTTGTTTCTTTTTTTAACCCTCTTGTGTTCCACCAGGAACCTGACCGGTGGTGGGCGGTGCGGGGGTGGGTGGGGGTGTTGTGTCCTGGCGGTGGTGGGGCCACGTTTCTCTTGACTTGGAATGCAGCCACCTTATGCATGGCTGATCCATTGGTGCATGTCAGATCTCCAGTTTGGCTTGTCCTGTTCTTAATGCATAGTTGGGCCATTAAAAACAAAACAAAGCAAAATCAGCCGAGAGGAGATGTATGTGTCCTTCTGTTTGCCATTGCAACATCGCCATGATTTCCAGCCCATGTCTGGTCTGCGTACTAAACAGGAGAGGGCTTCATCCCATGGCGCCCGCCCTTCCTTTGCCTGTGCCGGAGACGGTGCTTGCGTGACGGCTCTCCCTCCTGCAAGCACAGCCCAGCATCCGGAAGCCTTCACTCTCACGTGGTCTTGTCCATTTCCACATGTGATCCTGCCTTGCCAAACTGTGTCCCTCTGGCTGAGTCATCCATATTCCATCCCATGTGTAACGCGGTGCGACCCATTCCGAGGGCAAGAGGAGTCCTGCTGCTCCTGAGCCACTTTGGGTGGTCCTACGTCTCCCCCTCACCCTTTTTAGACCTCTTGTCTGTGTGTCACTCTGTCCGTCATCTGCTCCCGTTTCCATTCTGACTCTTCCCCCTTCCATGGAATTTAGCTGTGAAGTTGTAATCTGATTTCTCTTTCCTAGAGCCAAGCAGATGCTGCATTATGGCATCGCCTGAGCCGTGCGCGTTTTCATGCCCCATTCTTTTAAACCTTTCTGATTCTTCTCTCCTCAAGGAGGCACAAATGCCCGCAAAGAGATCATCAGGAACAAGATCAGGGCCATTGGGAAGATGGCACGAGTCTTTTCCGTTCTTCGGTAAGTTGGCTTTTTCTCGCAAAGGTTGGCTGGAAAGGGACCTCCTTCTGCCAAACTGATGGGGACGGAGATAATAATAATAATAATAATAATAATAATAATAATAATAATAATACTTTATTTGTACCCCGCTACCATCTCCCATGCAAGTGTGAGTAGATCAATAGGTACCACTCCGGCGGGAAGGTAACGGTGCTCCATGCAGTCATGCCAATGGCCACATGACCTTGGAGGTGTCTACGGACAACGCTGGCTCTTCGGCTTAGAAATCTAGATGAGCACCACACCCCAGAGTCAGACATGACTGGACTTAATGTCAGGGGACTACCTTTACCTTTTACCATCTCCCAAAGGACTCGGTGCAGCTTACAAGAGGCCAAGCCCAAATACAATAATAAAACAGCAGCAACAACAACAACACATGTTATGTTGTGTTTTGAGGCCTTGGCCTTTGTAAGCCGCATCGAGTCCTTCGGGAGATGCTAGCGGGGTACAAATAAAGATAATAATAATAACACAATAACTCAAAAAACAAACCAATAACAGTAACAACACCCAATGACGCAATTAAAAACAATGGCTGGGCCAAATGTAATAATTAAAATTAAAAGTGCTGGCCATGACAAGGTGGGGTGTTTGGAGGGGGACTTTAGATCAGGGGTCCTCAAACGAAGGCCTGGGGGATGGATACGGCCCTCCGAGGTCATTTACCTGGCCCTCAATCAGAGTCAACTTAAGTATGAAATTATTTATTTATCGTGTCAGGAGCAGACCAAACAGTTGCATTGCATTTTTTTAACAAACAAACAAACAGAACACAACGTTTGCAAGCTTGGTAGTTGATTAAATGTCCTTTGTCCGGTATCTGTCCCCTTGGAGTGCCTCTGGTGTTGCCGCAAGAAGGTCCTCCCTTGTGCATCATGTGGCAGGGCTCAGGTTGCATTGCAGCAGGGGGTCAGTGGTTGGCTCTTCTCCACACTCGCATGTTGTGGATTCCACTTTGTGGCCCCATTTCTTGAGGTTGGCTCTGCATCTCGTGGTGCCAGAGTGCAGTCTGTTCAGCGCCTTCCAAGTCGCCCAGTCTTCTGTGTGCGCAGGGGGGAGTCTCTCATTTGGTATCACCCACGGATTGAGGTGCTGGGTTTGAGCCTGCCACTTTTGGACTCTTGCTTGCTGGGGTGTTCCAGCGAGTGTCTCTGTAGATCTTAGAAAACTATGTCTTGATTTAAGTCGTTGACATGCTGGCTGATACCCAAACAGGGGATGAGCTGGAGATGTCTCTGCCTTGGTCCTTTCACTATTGGCTGCTACTTCCCGGAGGATGTCAGGTGGTGCCATACCGGCTAAGCAGTGTAATTTCTCCAGTGGTGTAGGGCGCAGACACCCCGTGATAATGCGGCACGTCTCATTAAGAGCCACACCCACTGTTTTAGCGTGGTGAGATGTGTTCCACACTGGGCATACGTACTCAGTAGCAGAGTAGCATAGCACAAGGGCAGATGTCTTCACTGTATCTGGTTGTGATCCCCAGGTTGTGCCAGTCAGCTTTCAAATGATATTGTTTCTGGCACCCACTTTTTGCTTGATATTCAGGCAGTGCTTCTTGTAGGTCAGAGCACGGTCCAGAGTGACTCCTCCCAGGTATTTGGGTGCGCTGCAATGCTCCAGTAGTATCTTAGTGTTTATCTTGCACGTGCGGCCCGCTCATTGTTATGTTATTTTATTTGAATGTGTGCGATTTTGCTTTATTGTCTTTGCATTCATATGTTGTATGTATTTTACTCTATTGTTATTTTGTTTTGGTTTTACTTTATTGTAATATGTTGTTGGGCTTGGCCTCATGTAAGCCACCCCGAGTCCCCATTGGGGAGATCGTGGCAGGGTATTAAATAAAGTTGTTTATTATTATTATTATTATTATTATTATTATTATTATTATTACTCAAATCTGCCTCTGATAGATTTGGCTCTTAAAGTTGTTTATAAAGGAAATACATCGAGGAAGCTGCTTTGGACTACACCAGGCTCTTTGGTTACCTAATTCATATTGCCTGCTTTGGCTGGGCCCATCTCTCCAGAGGCTCAAGGAAAGGGGACTCTTTCCCATCGTCCACCACATGGTCCTTTTAATTCAAGGGTGACCAATGTGGGCCTCCTGGTGTTTTCAGTTTGCAGCTCCCATCCCCAGTTCTGATTGTTCCTATAGGACTCACATATTTGCAAGTTTGGCAACTTTTAAATGCCTAGAAGATCAATGAAAACAAGATATCTGCCTTAGGAACCATGCTTATGGAATATAGTTCTAAATTGCTTTTTGTACTCGGATGTAATAATTGACATTTTGCCTCTTTTTTCAGGGAAGAGAGCGAGAGTGTGTTGACGCTCAAGGGCCTGACTCCCACAGGTACTCTTCCCATGGGAGTGCTCTCAGGTGGAAAGCAGACTCTACAGACAGGTAAGTTAGTTAGAAACCAAGCCCTGTGTTTCAGAAACCTTCCTGTACAGCAGTAGTTCTCAACCTGGGGGTCCCCAGGTGTTTTGGCCTACAACTCCCAGAAATCCCAGCCAGTTTACCAGCTGTTAGGATTTCTGGGAGCTGAAGGCCAAAACACCTGGGAACTTACAGGCTGGGAACCACTGCTGTACAGGGTAAGGAGACCCAAACTCTGAATTTTCCCCTGTGGCATTCTAAGAATCTTCTAAGGATACCCCAGGTTTGGGAGAGGAGTGGAGGGGTACCTTTTTCTTGCCACAAATGACATGGGATTTCAAACAGCCCTGTGAATTTGATATCTCCAGACTTTCTTTTTGAGTTCCAAAAATAAATAAAGTCCTGAGAAAGATGAGAGAAAGAAGATGAGCCATTCGGCTGATGTCACAGAAACCTGTCAAGGGAAGTTGAGGAAGGGATTTTTGTCGGGCAGGTGGGCTTATTAACAAAAGCCCCTCCCCGTAAATGTACAAGAAACTTGTTAGCAGCAGCGTGACCCAGCACCAGTAGCCAAAAGTGATAAAAAGAACAAAAACACAGAGACCAATGTTACCTCTTCTTTATGGCAAAATAATACGGTTGCACTATTTACAACAAGGTTTCCATAACACAAATAAAATGGTTTATACTTCCTTCTTTGCTTCCACGCTGGGCTTCTTTCTCACGCAGATAAACAGCTTCTAGCTTCGCTCTCACAGAGCTTCTCCTCACACCAAACTTACACATTAGCTTTACAAATGAGGCCCTCAACTTGGGGCTTCTTTCACCGAATCTTCTTACACCAGGCTTTCTCATACTCGACCTTCTCATAGACTAAGGCCTACCTCACACTGTGAGACCTTCTCACAGACTGAGACCTTTCTCCCACTGAGGTTTACCTCAGACTGAAGGCTACTAAGCTAATGGCACACCTGCTTATATAGAACTGCAGCTTTTCCTGAGTCGTTGGATTCATTTAACCCTTTCAGTGCTTGACTCATATTTTTGTAATTAAAAATACCTAGTTAATCTATATCTAGCTCTATCTATAATAAAAGAGAATGTTTGTATGTGGAGGGAGGGCGGTGTATGTGGTAGCTTTCTGATTGGCTGCCACTTACACAGGCCACTGTGACCTGCACAAGTAACGAACCTGACCTTGCTTGGGAATAGATTCTTAAAGAATGAGTAGTACTGCTGGATACTATTCTTTGTAATAACCCTTCTGATTTCATTTCCTTCACAGCAATTGCAACTATTAGTCTGCTTTTCTATCTCTTTAATCCTAAATCCATCTGTTCTTTTGTGTTAACGTTGCAGTTTTGCTGTGCATTTTTAAAACATTACTATCTGTGCTGGTTATATGTGATTCTCAAACGGGTTCAGAGGGAGTGCAATGTAATGTGTGTCCAGACCTTCTCTTTCCTTGCCTTTTGTGTCATTCCGTATTACCCTTTATGAATCAAGAAATGAACCTGCACACTCCCCTGCCCCCCCTTAAGCATGCCCCCTTCCTCTTAGAATTGCAGGATTGATCAAGAAAACCCAATAATTAAAAACCGAACTTGACACAGTTGCTCTAAACTCTTTTCAGTTATATACCAGATAGCAAACTATTAAGCAATTTCTGGACCTAGACCTCCTCATTCCCCTTTTGCAGTTATGTCATAGCATCTGTCAAAAGAGAGATATTGATAAAGTTAACCATAAGCATAGCAAGGGAGTTGGACTGGACTGTTCCCAATCTGATTCTAAACTACATGAATATTTGGTTGGGCGAGCGGGCTTATTAACAAAAGACCCTCCTCATAAATGTACAGCAGAGTAACTTATTACTCTTACTACTTATTGCTCTTATTACCAGCAGCATGACTTGGCACCAGTAGCCCAAAATGATAAAAAGAACAAAAACATACAGACCAATGTTATCTCTTCCATAAGAGACTTTTAGTTGTAGTAAAATAATATAGCTGCACTATTTACAATAACAAGGTTTCCACATCATACTTCCTTCTTTGCTTCCATGCTGGGCTTCTTCCTAATGTAGTCAAACAGCTTCACTCTCACAAAGCCTTCTCTCACAATGAACTTATACTAGAGCTTCACAGAGTAGCTTTATGCACGCAGCAGCCTTTATACTGGAGCTTTTCACTTGAGGATTTACACACAAAGCCTACAACTTGGGACTTCTTTCACCGAAGCTTCTCACACCTGACCTTCTCATAGACTAAGGCCTACCTCACGCTGTGAGGCCTTCTCTCAGACTGAGACCTTTCTCCCACTGAGGTTTTACCTCACACTGACAGCTACTAAGCTACAAAAGACCCTCCTCATAAATGTACAGCAGAGTAACTTATTAATCTTACTACTTATTGCTCTTATTACCAGCAGCATGACTCAGCACCAATAGCCCAAAATGATAAAAAGAACAAAAACATACAGACCAATATTATCTCTTCCATAAGAGACTTTTAGTTGTAATAAAATAATATAGCTGCACTATTTACAATAACAAGGTTTCCACAACATACTTCCTTCTTTGCTTCCATGCTGGGCTTCTTCCTAATGTAGACAAACAGCTTCACTCTCACAAAGCCTTCTCTCACAATGAACTTATACTAGAGCTTCACACAGTAGCTTTATACACTCAGCAGCCTTTATACTGGAACTTTTCACATGAGGATTTACACACGAGGCCTACAACTTGGGACTTCTTTCACCGAAGCTTCTCACACCCAACCTTCTCATAGACTAAGGCCTACCTCACGCTGTGAGGCCTTCTCTCAGACTGAGACCTTTCTCCCACTGAGGTTTTACCTCACACTGACAGCTACTAAGCTACAAAAGACCCTCCTCATAAATGTACAGCAGAGTAACTTATTAATCTTACTACTTATTGCTCTTATTACCAGCAGCATGACTCAGCACCAATAGCCCAAAATGATAAAAAGAACAAAAACATACAGACCAATGTTATCTCTTCCATAAGAGACTTTTAGTTGTAGTAACATAATATAGCTGCACTATTTACAATAACAAGGTTTCCACAACATACTTCCTTCTTTGCTTCCATGCTGGGCTTCTTCCTAATGTAGACAAACAGCTTCACTCTCACAAAGCCTTCTCTCACAATGAACTTATACTAGAGCTTCACACAGTAGCTTTATACACTCAGCAGCCTTTATACTGGAACTTTTCACATGAGGATTTACACACGAGGCCTACAACTTGGGACTTCTTTCACCGAAGCTTCTCACACCCAATCTTCTCATAGACTAAGGCCTACCTCACGCTGTGAGGCCTTCTCTCAGACTGAGACCTTTCTCTCACTGAGGTTTTACCTCACACTGACAGCTACTAAGCTACAGGCACACCAGCTTATATAGGACGGCAGCTTTTGCTAAGTCACTGCATCTATTTAACCCTTTCCGTGGTTGACTCACATTTTTGTAGTTAATTTTGAATATTTCTGACATATTTACCATGTGTTTTTTTCAAAAGCGAGAAAGAATCTGCATTGTGGAAGGAAGGAATTGGGAAGAGAGGCAAGCCAAGACTTCCATTCACATCAAATCCTAGGAAATTACCAACTTAAACCTGCAGTCAATATTAAATTAGCAGTTTGAAGGGAATGAGGCAGGGTTTCTTCCTATGTACTTCCACCCAGTACTGTCCAAAGGGGAGAATGACCCCCTGCCCAAAAAGAGATTCTTTGAGCCAATAAGCTGGAGAAGGCCATGAACTTTTACTTGTTCCTCTTCTAAGGCATCTGGGTCAGGCTGGCTTGCAGCTCTTGCTTTTCTTGCTGACTCTAGGGTACTTTTCCTAGTTATTGCTATGTGTCATCTTGTTCTAAACTCAGCAGACGCTGAAGATGGACAAAAGACCGAACGAGGTACGAGGCTTTATGTAATGTAGCGGCTTGCTGCGGTATGCAAGCTGGAATATCCCCCCTTTGAGCCATGTCACATCAAGCAAAGGCTTATCTAGTTATGCCTTCTGTCCCCCACGGCGGCCACATGATGCCTATGGAAAACTCACAAGGGCCAAAACACTCCCACGGCAGCCTCTTCATTGCCTCGGCCTCAGAGTTTACAACTGATCAAGTCAGGGGCCGTTGCCGCTTAGCATGTGAGCAACTTCTCCGGCCGGCCTGTGCATTGTGGGGAGGAGTGCTTCCTTTGGTCTGTAGGGAATCCCACAACTTTGGGTATCAAGCTCATCCAATTTCCTAGAGCAGTGCTTCTCAACCTGGGGGTCAGGACCCCTGAGGGGGTCGCGAAGGGGTGTCAGAGGGGTCGCCAAAGACCATCAGAAAACACAGCATTTTCTGATGGTCATGGGGATTCCATGTGGGAAGTTTGAGCCAATTCTATCGTTGGTGGAGTTCAGAATGTTCTTTGATTGTAATGAACTATAAATCCCAGCAACTACAACTCCCAAAAGTCAAAGTCTATTTTCCCCAGAGCTCTACCAGTGTTCACATTTGTACATATTGAGTATTTGTGCCAAGTTTGGTCCAGACCCACCATTGCATGAGTCCACAGTGCTCTCTGGATATAGGTGAACTACAACTCCCAAACTCAAGGTCAATGCCCACCAAGCCATTCCAGTGTTTTCCATTGGTCATGGGAGTTCTGCGTGGCAAATTAGGTTCAGATCCATCGCTGGTGGAGTTCAGAATGCTCTTTGATTATAGGTGAACTATACATCCCAACAACTACAACTCCCAAATTACAAAATCAATCCTCCCCCAATCCCAGTAGCATTTACATGTGGGTGCATTGGGTATTTGTGCCCAGTTTGGTCCAGTGAATGAAAATACATCTTGCATATCTGATATTTACATTATGATTGATAACAGTAGTAAAAGGACTGTTATGAAGTAGCAATGAAAACAATGTTATGGTTGGGGGTCCCCACAACATGAGGGACTGTATTCAGGGGTCACGGCATTAGGAAGGTGGAGAAACACTGTCCTGGAGTGACTTCTCCTAACTTAGCACCCTCTAAATTATTTATTTATTATTATTTATTAACTATATTTATACGCTGCTCTTCTCACCCCGGAGGGGACTCAGAGCGGCTTACAGACTATGGCAAAATTCAATGCCTCATTATACATACAAGTAATAAATATAACATTTCAAATTATAAAACATTTAAAACATACAAATGCAATAAAACACATGAAATCATAGTTTCCCAATCATTCTCCCCCCACAGGCCAAACAAAAGCCTGCTAGTAAAAGTGACCTTATGGCCTTGGATGCCTTGGATTATGACTCCCAGCAGCCCAGTGATTAGGGCTGATGGGAACTGCAGTCCCAAGTAGTTGGATTGGACTGGAATTAGGAATGACTCCCTGGAATGCAGAATTTTGAACACAGCTGTCTCAGTCTCTGTTATGCCAGATAATATAAGTCTAAGGAGCTGTCAGCCTCATATGGCCATCATGCACATAATAATAATAATAATAATAATAATAATAATAATAATAATAATCCTTATTTATACCCCCACCATCTCCCCAGTGGGGACTCAGAGTGGCTTACATGGGGCCAAACCCTGGACAACGTATTACAACAGAATAAGACCAGAGTATAAACAGTAAACAACATCATTAAATTACATCAACGGGGAAAAAAACAAATTATTAGACACAGTAATAAAATAACATTCTAATAAGCACAATCACAATAACAATGGGTGGGCCACGTGTACAAGATAAAAACGATTCTAAGACTCTAATGAGATAAAAATAGGAGCAATACCTTGCTATACTATACTAATACTAATACTAATACTAATACTATACTATACTATACTATACTATACTATACTATACTATACTATACTATACTATACTGGGCCAGAGTGAAGAGAGATGGGGCTAGAAGACAGTTCCACCTTGTCTCCTGTACTATTCTAATAATATAATGTAATGTAATGTAATGTAATGTAATGTAATATATATACATAAAATAATAATGTAATGCAATATAATTTATTTATTTATTTATTTGTAATTCAAACTTCTATGTGGCCACTCCCTTGGGGCTCAGAGCGGCTTACAAGAACAGGCTAAAATCTAAAACAATTTAAAAACTATTTAAAAACAACAATATCAAAGATCAAAGGCCTTGTCGAAGCCTTTCATGGCTGGAATCACTAGGTTCTTGTAGGTTTTTTCGGGCTATAGGGCCATGTTCTAGAGGCATTTCTCCTGACGTTTCGCCTGCATCTGTGGCAAGCATCCTCAGAGGTAGTGAGGATGCTTGCCATAGATGCAGGCGAAACGTCAGGAGAAATGCCTCTAGAACATGGCCCTATAGCCCGAAAAAACCTACAAGAACCTAGATCAAAGGCCTGTTGAAACAGATATGTCTGTTCTGGCTATGTTTGTTGTTTTTTGGTAATACGATTCCTTTTTGAAGCTGGACTGATGCAACGTGAGAGCTGTGTGTGTCCCAAGCTCTCCTTGAGTTGTAGAAGAGCGCCTTAGGTTGAGCTGCGGCTGCCCCCCCCCCCCCTCGGTCCCATTGCCAGGACGGGGATTAAGAGTGACCTTAAGCGAGTCTCCTTCTCCTCAGACACTCTTTCTGGGAAATGCCGCTTAGCTGATGACATGTCGGAGCCCAGGCATGGAACAGGCCTCCTCCAAGGCAGCGGCGCTTGACTGCCCAGCCTTGGAAACGCTGACCCTTGTCGTCCTCTGTTCTGTTCCGATGGGTCGCGGTGCCGTGCCCATCCGAGCTCCCTTCCGCCTCTCTGTCCTGTTGCCATCCTTCTCTGCTGGCTGGTCATGCTCACAATCCTCCTCTCTTGGGACTGGGAGGGTTGTGGATCTCAAAGCAACCGTGGTGATGTTACTACGTTCACTCACTCTTTTCTGTCTTCATTTTTGCATGCCACTGTTCCTTCTGTATTACAGCCACAGTAGAAGCGGTAGAGGCACGGGAAGGTATGGCTGGACTCTTGTGAGATCTGTGATGGTTTTGTGTGTGTTTTTTCGGTCTCTCTCCCCTTCCCCTGAACTGATTCTCAACAGTACAAAGGATTTTTATTTCTTGCATCACGGGCCTGAATGGGAAGAGGCATTGGCCTGGTGAACACCCTTCACCCTTTAGAGCCATTGAAGTTTTGTTTATTTATTTATTTATTTGCTATATTTATAATAAGATTATATAATAAGATTATTAAGAATAGCTTTGGCCATAACTTCATAACCACAGATGTATTAAGAATATGCTACTTTCTAAAGCATAATAAGACCCTAAGCTCTTACAAAGAGCAGTACAAAATAAAACATTATACTAACACAATACAGATATGTCTACTTTGTACTATGCTTCTTGCAACACATTAATATTGCTTTGTGTCTCATTGTCACTTTCAAATCCTGCCCTTCTCCCCCCGAAAGGGGACTCAGGGCGGCCTAACAAAAGCATCATTTAATCGAAATATTAAAAAATTAAAACAACAATTAAAACCATTAATTAAGACACATCCACTAAATCGAAATCCAATGTTATAATAATAATAATAATAATAATAATAATAACTCTTTATTTGTACCCCGCTACCATCTCCCCAAGGGACTCGGTGCGGCTTACATGAGGCCAAGCCCGAACACAACAATACAAGCAATAATCAGAACAATACAAGCAATTAAAATAAAACATAAACATATAACATCATATGTTATATGTTTCCAAAAGCCAGTCCGGGTCAATTCATTGCCCTAAGTTGTGTGATCTTCTTCCACTTGCTGCTCAGTGATCCAACGCTTGGTCCCATCACCAGGTCTTGGTTTTCCTTCTAAAAGACAAGAGGGAGGTGGCCAATCTGATATTTCTCGGGAGGGCGTTCCATAGGCGGGGGGCCACTGCCGAGAAGGCCCTGTCTCTCGTCCCCATCCACTGCGTTTGCGATAGTGGTGGGATGGAAAGTAGGGCCTCTCCTGAAGATCTTAAACTTTGTGATGGTTCGTGGCAGGAGATACGTTCGGACAAATAGTCTGGGCCAGAACCATTTAGGGCTTTAAAGGTTAAAACCAGCACTTTGAATTGTGCTCAGAAGCTGCTCGGCAGCCAGTGGAGTTGGCGTAACAAAGGAGTTCTATGTTCCCTGTACATCGCTCTGGTTGAGCAACCTGGCTGGTGACCGTTGGACTAGTTGAAGCTTCCGGGCAGTCTTCAAAGGCAGCCCCACGTAGAGTGCGTTGCAGTAGTCTATGCGGGATGTAACAAGAGCATGGACCACTGTGGCCAAGTCAGATTTCTCAAGGAATGGGTGCAGCTGGCGTTAGAGCACAAAAGCACCCTGCTGACTCTCTGCTCTGTTACTAGAAACATACATGGCTGGGCTTCAGCTCACTGACTAAGGAGAGTAGGAAGTCTCTAAAGCCATGATGTGGCTGTCCTTTCTCTGCATATCAAGCGCCTATTCTCTGTTGTAGTGGTTCTCAACCTATGGGTCCCCAAGTGTTTTGGCTACAACTCCCAGAAATCTCAAAAGCTGGTAAGCTGTTGGGATTTCTGGGAGTTGAAGGCCAAAACATGCGGGGACCCACAGGTTGAGAACCACTTCTCTCTTGGCTTCAGAACTACAACATGGAGTTAGATGCAACTGTTTACATTTCCAATGAGGCCTCATTAGCAGAACAGGATTCAAACACAGTGAACCAAAGTGTTGTCAAAGGCTTTCATGGCCGTAATCACTTGGTTCCTGTGAGTTTTCCAGGCTGTATGGCCACGTTCCAGAAGCACAAACCTCACCATTGGCTTCCCTTTCAAGGTGTAGATTGTGCAAAGGTGTGAATGGGTTCGCCACTGTCGATGCCCTCCCCCACTTCACGTGGATCCTGCTCATGCAAGATTTAGGAATTTGTTTTCCTGTTTTTGTACTGTTGTTTAGCTAAAGACGTGTTCATTTTCCCATTTTTGTGGTGTATTTTGTGTTGGGTGAGGGTGTGTGTAGTGTTGTGCTGAAGTACATTGATTTAGTTCTCACTATGATTTTTTTTGTGTTTGTTTATTCAGTTTCCAAAGCTGTTGTGCTGTTTCACGATACTAATGCCCCTGTTGTGGAGCACATGTCTGACTTTACCTGACTTGAATTCTTTCGAGTTGGATTCCCAGCCATACAAAATAGAATTAATTACTGAGTTAATTCTTTTATGGGAGCAGACTTGCCTAGATATTATTTGGGTTGGGGACATGCCATTAAGTTTTGAGATTTGGATGTGGCTTGAATGGGAAACTTCCAATGGTGGGTATGTATATATATATATATATATACTCTTGATCCAAAAGATTGGAAAGATTTTTGAAGCTATCTAAACACCTTTGACCATCATAAGCAGATCTCCACCTTCCAAAATATCTTCAGTTCTGGAAGTGAGGATGAGGAACAGAAACTGGCAAAACTCTAGTTGTACTTGAACTCCCAGTATCCTCCACCAGTTTTCTCCAATTGACTCGTAATTATGAGTTCCCATCAATAAATCTTACCGTATATACTCGAGTATAAACCCAGTTTTTCAGTCCTTTTTTAAGCTGAAAAAGCCTCCCTCGGCTTATACTCAAGACAAAGTTATTTACTGTATTGTTGAAGGCTTTCATGGCCGGAATCATTGGGTTGTTGTAGGTTTTTCCGGGCTATATGGCCATGTTCTAGAGGCATTTTCTCCTGGCGTTTCGCCTGCATCTAAGGCACGCATACTCATTACCTCTGAGGATGCTTGCCATAGATGCAGGCGAAACGTCAGGAGAAAAATTGCCTCCAGAATATGGCCATATAGCCCGGAAAAACCTACAACAACCCAAAGTTATTTACTATTTTACTGGGTTATTATTATTATTATTATTATTATTATTATTATTATTATTTTACTCTGTTATCATTACATTTACATTATTTTACTCTATTATTATTTTATTACATTTATGTTTTACTCCATTTATTATTCCATTTATTTATTATTGTTATTACATATATTATTTTACTCTTATTATTATCACATTTATTAATTTACTCTATTGTTATTATTACATTTATTAATTTACTCTATTATTACATTTATTATTTTACTCTATTATTGTTATTACATGTATTAATTTACTCTGTTGTTACATGTATTATTTTACTCTATTATTGTTACATGTATTATTTCACTCTATTATTATCACATTTATTGATTTACTCTATTTATTATTATTACATTATTATTTATTGTTATTACATGTATTATTTTTACTCTATTTATTATTGTTACATGTATTATTTTACTCTAGTATTATCACATTTATTGATTTACTATATTTATTGTTATTATTACATTTATTATTTTACTATTAATTTACTCCATTATTACATTTGGAGTTTGGAGTTGCCACGTGACCAGTTAACACAAAATCGTAATACGAACATGGAACGGCTAAGACTATGTAAACGGATGAGGAATTTGAATTGGTAGACATTGGTTTTGTATTGATTTTTATAGTTTTTTAATGGATTTTATATGTATTTATGATGTGATTTAATTGTTTTTATTGATATATGTATTTCTAAATGGCATCTAATTGTTGCCGATCTGTATGCCGCCCTGAGTTGCCTTCGGGCTGAAATGGGCGGGATAAAAATGTGGTAAATAAATAAATAAGTTTATTATTTTACTCTATTTCTTATTATTACATTTACATTATTTTACTCTATTATTGTTACATGTATTATTTTACTGTATTATTATTATCACATTTATTAACTATATTTATTATTATTGCATTTATTATTTTACTCTATTTATTATTGTTACATTTATTATTTTACTGTATTACATTTATTAATTTGCTCTATTTTTACATTTATTATTTTACTCTATTATTATTATCACATTTATTAACTATATTTATTATTATTATTGCATTTATTATTTTACTCTATTTATTATTGTTACATTTATTATTTTACTGTATTATTACATTTATTAATTTGCTCTATTTTTACATTTATTATTTTACTCTATTATTATTACATTTACATTATTTTACTCTATTATTGTTACATGTATTATTTCACTCTATTATTATTATCACATTTATTAACTATATTTATTATTATTATTGCATTTATTATTTTACTCTATTTATTATTGTTACATTTATTATTTTACTCTATTATTGTTATTACATTAATTTGCTCTATTTTTACATGTATTATTTTACTGTATTATTATTATCACATTTATTAACTATATTTATTATTATTATTGCATTTATTATTTTACTCTATTTATTATTGTTACATTTATTATTTTACTCTGTTATTATTACATTAATTTGCTCTATTTTTACATTTATTATTTTACTCTATTTTTATTGTTACATGTATTATTTTACTCTATGATCGTTATCACATTTATTAACTATATTATTATATATATTATTATTACATTTATTATTTTACTCTATTTATTATTGTTATGTTACATTTATTATTTTACTCTATTATTGTTATTACATTAATTTGCTCTATTTTTACATTTATTATTTTACTCTATTATTACATATACATTATTTTACTTTATTATTATTATTACTTTTCTTATTTTAGTCTTTATTATTATTGGAAGGATATGTAAGCACACTTAAATTGAAGAAAGTTAGAATAATGGTTGAATCAGAATTGGACAGTCTTACCTTAAATTACAGTTTTAGGTAAATATTCAAAAACATTGAACCTCGTTTAATGTAATGTTATTGGTATCTATTTTTATTTTGAAACTAGCTGTACCCACCACGCGTTGCTGTGGCCAACCTTCCCTCTTTCTCTCCTTCTTTCCCTCCTTCCTTCACTCCTTCTTTCCTTCCTTCCTTCCTTCCTTCCTTCCTTCCTTCCTTCCTTCCTTCCTTCCTTCCTTCCTTCCCGTCTTTCCTTCTCTTCTTCCTTCCTTCTCTATCTCTTTCCTTCCTTCCCCCTTTTTCTTTCTCTTCTGCTGCCTCTCTTTTCTTCCTTCTCTCTTTCCTTCCCTCCCTCTTTCTCTACACCTTCCCCCCTTCCTTTGCTCCCTTTTTCCTTCCTTTCCTTCTCTCCTTCCTTCTCTCCTTCCTTCTCTAACTTACCTTCCTTCCCCCTTTTTCATTCCCTCTCTCTTTCTCTCCTTTCTTCCTTCTCTACCTCTTTCCTTCCTTCTTTCTCTCTTTGCTTCCATGCTTCCTTCTCCCTTTCTTTCTTTCTTTCTTTCTTTCTTTCTTTCTTTCTTTCTTTCTTTCTTTCCCTCCCTCTTTCTTTTCTTCCTTTCTTTTCTCCCCTTCCCTCCCTCTTTCTTCCCTTTTTACTGTATTTTCATCATTTAGCTTTTTGGGGCTTTTTAAGTCCCTTCTGCCGTGTTTTTCAGTGTTTTTATAAGTGAAGGACATACATTGGGTTGTTTGGTGTGTTGCGTCCAAATTGGGTGTCAATTCATCCAGTGGTTTTTGAGTTCTGTTAATCCCACAAACGGAAACTACATTTTTATTTATATAGATTGACCAGTAGCTGCTGCATTTCTCACTCTCGGCTTAGACTCGAGTCAATACGTTTCCCCAGTTTTTTTGTGGAATAATTAGTTTCCTTGTCTTATATTTGGGTCGACTTATACTCGAGTATATACGGTAACTTTCTGAACCTCGGTGGATGGGGAAAACATATTGGAGGTTTTTTTGATCGGCTTCATTGAAACACCAAGAGAGCCCTTCCTTCCTCCCTCCCTCCCTCCCAAAGTGAGACATGTGCTCCCTGCCACGGCTGCGCTGAGTGGCAATGGCGTGGCAAGTGCGAACGTGGTCCAGACTCAGCAATGCCCCCATTTCTCTCCCTTCCTCATTCTTTCCGCCCCGCTCTAGCCATCCGTGGATTTTCGCCGCAGCACAAGATCCGTAGCTTCGAGGAAGCCCGAGGGCTGGACCGCGTGAACGAGCGCATGCCGCCGCGCAAGGATTCAAAGCACCCCGACGGGCCGGTGAACTTAACCTCCACAAACTCTGCCGAAAAGAATGGGACAGGGAAGAAGACCCAGTAACGGTTCCAGGCCACCCAGTAAAGGATCCAAAACTTAACGAATTTTATTTATTTATTATGGAAGTGGGGGTTTTGGGTTGGGGCTGGGGGGGGGCGGGGGAGGGACGGAACCAACTTAGCCCGGAGGCGCATCCATAATCCAGTTTGCATCCATTCTGTCAGAGAGGTGACCATTTTGTAAGTTTTTTAAATTTTCTGTTCGATATATATAAAAATGTCAATTTTTTTTGTATTTAGGAATGGGTCTAAATCCTAGTGCTTATATAAAATGTTGTTCTGTACAGATGGCCCCTCCCTTCCGAGAGGGAAAGGAGCCGTGGGGTGGGCTGGGGGGGGGTGGGCGGGGGGGCAGTCCAATGGCCCAGGGCAATGCTGTCGTCGGGTTGATTTGGAACCATTTTAAGTTACCCTCCTTGTTTTTAAAGTGGCATCTTTTAATTCCCCTCTCCCCACTTTTGCTTTTTGTCCTCCCCACTCCCACCCCCACCCCCCACCCCTTCCCCCTTTTCCTATTTCGTACTGCGTTTGATGCTCCATTAAAGTCACGTTGCATAGGGCAATTGGTAAACTCTTTCCTTTGGGGAACCCTGGGTTGCGTTACAGATCCAGAAATGTGGTTGGAAATTTGGGGGGCTGAGAATCTCCCTGTTTTGCCCCCTCAACATATCCCTCGGTTTCAGAAATAACACGTTAGATCAGTGGTTCTCAACCTAGGGTCCCGTCCCCAGATGTGTTTTGGCCTTCAACTCCCAGAAATCCTAACAGCTGGTAAATTGGCCGGGATTTCTGGGAGTTGTAGGCCAAAACACATCTGGGGACCCCTGATTGAGAACTACTGCATTAGATGGACTTTGATGAATGCATGCCTGCAGTCTCCAATCATTTGGAAGCATCTCTCCTTTGATTTTATATTGACCATATTGTGTTGTCGCAGGCCCAGAATTACTGGGTTGCTGTGAGCTTTCCGGGCTGTCTGGCAATTTTCCAGAAGTATTCTCTCCTGACATTTCGCCCACATCTATGGCAGGCATCCTCAGAGGCTATGAGGTCTGTTGGAAACTAGGAAAGCGGGTTTATATATCTGTGGAATGATGTCCAGGGTGGGGGAAAGAACTCTTGTCTGTTGGAGGCAAGTAGTAATGTCGCAATTATTTTATTTATTTTATTTCGAGCACTTCTACCCCACCCTTCTCAACTCCCTGGGGGGGGTGCCTCAGGGCAGCTTCCAGCCGGCACATATTCGATGCCTACAAGACTGAAGACCAACAGCTTTGAGGTTCAAATCCAGGGAAAGCGCAGATGAGCTTCCTCTATCAGCTCCAGCTCCCCATGCAGGGATATGAGAGAAGCCTTCCACAAAGATGGTAAAAACATCCTGACGTCCCCTCGGCAACATCCTTGTAGACAGCCAATTCTCTCACACCAGAAGCGACTTGAAGTTTCTCAAGTTACTACTGACACACACACACACAAAATTGACAGTTGGGAGAGGCCATCATCCAGTCCAACCCCATTCTGCCAAGAAGCAGGAATATTGCATTCAAAGCACCCCTGCCAGATGGCCATCCAGCCTCTGTTTAAAAGCTTCCAAAGAAGGAGCCCCCACCACACTCCGGGGCAGAGAGTTCCACTGCTGAACGGCTCTCACAGTCAGGAAGTTCTTCCTCATGTTCAGGTAGAATCTCCTCTCTTGTAGTTTGAAGCCATTCCTCCGTAGCGTCCTAGTCTCCAGGGAAGGTAGAAAGGAAGCCAGGGCCAGCTAATCAACTTCCAAGAAAGGATTCCCCCAGGCAGTAAGAAGCCAGACCTTGGAGAGAATGCTTCTGGAACATGGCCGTACAGCCTGGAAAACACACAACAACCCATCGATTTCTTTGTCCGGGTTGTTGCATTGCATGACTGGCCTGTGAATTTCCCAGAAATCCTAACAGCTGTTGAACTGAATGGGATTTCTGGGAGTCGTAGGCCAAAACACCTGAGGACCCACCAGTTGAGAACCATTGCCTCAAGGGTAGAAACAAAGCCCAGATAGCCTGTGAAAAGGTGTTCCTTGGTGGTCTCCGTAGGGCTGAAGAAGCAAAAAGTGTCCATGGGGCCGAACATGAAAAAGGTTTCTCAGTAATCTCGAGGACATTGTCCAGGGAGTGGCGAGTTATCCAAACTTTTGAAACAATTGGGGGGGGGGGGGGGGAACTGCTACCCATATGCAGCCAGAGTTAATCATTTTTGACATGTAGACTGAATTTCCATGTTGAGAATATACTTTTACTTAGGCGATCCCTCATTGTCCTCCAAGGTCGGTGTACTGGCGGTTGGTCTGTAGGGGACTGTGGAGCCCTCTTCTTGGCCTGCATGTTCTCCCACAGTGAGGGCATCGGTTTCCAGGTGGAAGGTGGTCCCGGTCGGGGTTGGCTTGACTCACCTTCCTCTTGGCACATTTCTCTTTTTCACCCTCCATTCGTGCCTCTTCAAATTCTGCAGCACTGCTGGTCGCAGCTGACCTCCAGCTGGAGCGCTCAAGGGCCAGGGCTTCCCAGTTCTCTCGGTATCTATGCCAGAGTTTTTAAGGTTGGCTTTGAGTCCATCTTTCAATTTCTTTTCCTGCCCACGAACATTATGTTTTCCATTCTTGAGTTCAGAGTAGAGCAACTGCTTTGGGAGACTGTGGTCGGGCATCCGAACAACGTGGCCTTCAGTCCAGTGAAGTTGATGGTGGAGGACCATGACTTCAGTGATGGTGGTCTTTACTTCTTCCAGCATGCTGACATTTCCCTGCCTGTCTTCCCAAGAGATTTGCAGTATTTTCCAGAGGCAGCGCTGATGGAATCATTCCAGGAGTTGCATGTGACATCTGTTGACAGTCCACGTCTCACAAGCATAGAGCAGGGTTGGGAGGGCAATGGCTTTATAAACAAGCCCCTTGGTCTCCCTAGGGATGTCCCGGTCCTCAAGCACTCTCTGCTTCATTCAGAAAAATGCAGCGCTCGCAGAGCTCAGGCAGTGTTGTATTTCAGTGTCAATGTTGACTTTTGTGGAGAGGTGGCTGCCAAGGGAGCGGAAATGGGAGACATTTTCTAACGTTACACCATTAAGCTGTATTTCTGGAATTGGAGAGGGATTGTCTGCTGGAAGAGCACTTCGGTTTTCTCGATGTTCAGTGACAGGCCGAGCTTCTCGTATGCCTTCTGCAAAGGTGTTTAGAGTGGCTTGTAGGTCTTCTTCTGAATGCGCACAGGCGATGTCATCAGCATACTTGAGTTCTATAACATGATGTTGTAACCTTGGTTTTGGCTTTCAGTCTGCTGAGGTAAAATAGCTTGGCATCTGTCCAATAGATGATTCCCCCTCCACTTAGGCAGCTGAAGGGAAGGGTCTGAGGCCGTTAGGAATGGTCAAAGTCCAAAACACCAGGAGGGCCCAAGTTTGCCCGTGCCCGCTGTATACGGAATGGGTGATCACAGATCCCAGAACTTGCGTTGGCTCGCTGTTATGATAAATTCTGTACTTTTGAAACTAAAGTGGCATTGCAGAGTGGAGCGCATGGAGAAGAAAGGATGGTTGGCCACCAGCCTGGCGTCTTTGTTCTGTGGAGGATTTTTACTTCATGTCTGATGAGTTGAAGAGCAGGAGAGGGAGTCTCAGAATGTGCCCAAGGGCAGCGACCCATCGTGTGCACTGCGTCCTCGGAGAATAAGATGGTTCCCTTTTATTTATTCTGCTCCTGTGCTGCCTTGGACTCCGTTCTCCAAGCCGCTCCTGCTCTGGCCTCTTGTTGTTTTGTGGGTTCGGCAAAAAGCAAGGATCAAGGTGTCCCTAAGAGCTCTCCAAAGCAGCGCTTCTCAACCTGTGGGTCTCCAGGTGTTTTGGTCTACGACTCCCAGAAATCCCAGCTGTTAGGATTTCTGGGAGTTGAAGGCCAAAAACATCTAGGAAGCCACAGGTTGAGACCCACGGCTCTAAAGAAATGCTTCCCAATCGTTACACAGTTGTTCTCATGCTTGAATTTCGGCTTTCCCTTAATCTCCCTTTTGAGAATGAGGAAATTCCTTGAAGGTGAAGGATTTGAATCAGGGGAGCGGCGCAAGCTTCACTGTCAGCCTCAGCTTCTGCCAGCCTAGCAGTTCAAAAACATGCAATTTTATTTATTTCGTATCAAAAGCATTGCATAAATTAGTATAAAACTGATAAAAATAGAAGGGAGGGCAAGTGGCTAATATCTTTTGACCAAAAACAGGCAACAGCAGTGGCCAAAAACATCTGGGGAGCCACAGGTTGAGACCCACGGCTCTAAAGAAATGCTTCCCAATCGTTACGCAGTTGTTCTCATGCTTGAATTTCAGCTTTCCCTTAATCTCCTGTTTGAGAATTAGGAAATTCCTTGAAGGTGAAGGATTTATTTATTTTGAGAAGCTGCAAGTTGCTTCTGGTGTGAGAGAATTGATGTTGCCTAGGGGAAACCCGAATGCTTCTGGAACATGGCCAGAAGCAAAACAACCCAGTGTGGCAACACTCTGGAAAGGGAACAACAGCCTTGCCAGCCACCAAAGCTCCTTTAAGAAGCTCCTTCCTTGGCCTCATATCCATATACTTTTGGGAAGTATTGAAACCTGGGTTGTGAGTTTTTCGTGCTGTCTGGCCATGTTCCAGAAGCATTCTCTCCCAACGTTTCGTCTGCATCTATGGCAAGCATCCTCAGACGTCGTGAGGTCCTCACCACCTCATAGGATGCCTGCCATAGATGGAGGTGAAACGTCGGGAGAGAATGCTTCTAGAGCATGGCCAGACAGCACGAAAAACTCACAACAACCCAGTCATTCCAACCAGGAAAGCCTTCGACAATATATTGAAACCTGATATCAGTATTCAGCCCTCCTTCCCTTGCCTGCTTTTTTTCAAACTGGGGGGGAAACGTTGCCAGTCATGGCTGCCCTTCTCCAGCTCGTACTTGGCACCATTCCCCCTGAGTTACCTGGCCCGTTTTGCACATTATTTTGATTTAACAACCGGAATTACGCAGCTAGTGTTAAGTGTGATGAAA